TTCAAATTTAAAATACAAAAAATCAAACTACGGATATATAAAGATTTATAAATCAACTAAAATACACAAACGATTAACAACCTTTAAATTCCTGGTCTACTGTTTAGAAAATCCAATTTATGAATTGAAAGAATATGTTGTTGACTCTCAATATTAATCTAGCAATCGGCTCGTTCTTATTTTTTCTCAATATATTTAAGTCAAGCGACTCTCATTTATTTCAACAAAAATTTTGATTCCGGATGACTCCTAAAGAAAAAAGCAAGTAGTGGTCGCTAAAAGACGAGATACCTCGGTTATCGCGAAGGATGGTGAGTGTTTGGTATCGGGCATGAAAGCAGCCACGAAGACAGACACAGAGATCTTGTTGGGAAACTTATCCATGGCCATGGATATACTCAAGCCTCCAAAGCTGTGACCAACGAGCACAACCTTCTCATCACTTGGTAATGAGCTCAGGAGTTTCATTAATGGCTCAGAGTATTGTTCGAATGTGGTGATATCAGTGATTGACCTGGTTGTGTCCATACCGCAAGCAGCTAAGTCTAAGGCGGTTACGCGGTGGCCCGAAGCCTCGAGCAATGGCTTAACCTTGTACCAGCACCACGCACCGTGGCACACCCCATGTTGTAGTATGAAGTGCTTCTTCATTTTCTCCTCACTCATTTTTCTTCTCTACTCCTGATTTTATCGCTAATTTTGTATCTTGTCTACTCTTCACACACTCACACCCTACAAATAATAAAGAGATTTTCTTTTGAAATAAACAATTTTTCGAAAATGTCACTTTCCTCTAGATTTCGAGGATCTCAGTATTTTATGATTACAATTTCTGGGTTTAGTTTTGTATATATTATCTACTCTTCACACATTCACACAGTCACACCCATCAAATAAATAAAGATCATTTTTTGTTTAGAATAATAATGGAGATTATTTGTTGCTGTGAGTGCTGTACACAGCACAAATTTGTGGCTGTGAATGCTGTACACCACAGCACTAATTGCACCCTTTCTTTTACAGCCTAAAAAATATTGCCAATTATTTTGTTCAATTGATTTTAAAAGCTACAAGTTAATATTTTTGGTTAGCTACGAGGGAATTTTATCAAAAATGCCATAAATTATTAAACTTTTTATCCAAAATGTCATAAACTCAAAATTCTTTTGATAAATGCCACAAAACACTGTTCATCGAAGTTAAAATTACAGTTTTACTCCCAACAAAATCATACATTTTCTTTCTTTCTTTTTCCAACACACTCTCTCTCTTTCTTTTTTGGTCCACAAACTCTCTCTCCAACAATCACTCTCTTCCTCTTTCCCTCTCCAACACAAACTCTCTCTTCTTCTCTCCAATGCATACTCTCTCTCTTTCTTTCTCCACGCTTTCTCACAATCTCTCACAATTTTAGTGGACAAATTATTGTCCAGGGATAACACAGGTTCGAGTTGTCCACTCGGTCATGGTTCAAACTACACGTATATTGTCCACAATAACACATGTTCGAGTTGTCCGCTCGGTCATGTCTTCAGACTATACATACATTTGGATGATTATATCTTCTTCTATTTTTGAAGTGGACAAAAACAATACCTAGTTTCAGTCATATGGACGATAAATAATAGGTAGAGACAAAATTAGATTTTGAAAGTCTTACGTTATTCTCGTCCGCCAAAATTTCAAACTCTTAATGTTTCAACAGTTATATTTGTCCACCAAATTATGTGTCTTTGTCTGTTAGTCTCGTCCACCAATTAAATCTACCATAACATATCATCATTTGATATATTTAATGTCAAGAACAAAAGTGTCGATCTAAATCTGATGAATAGTGTTTTGTGCCATTTCTCAAAAACAATTATAGATTATGGCATTTTTAAAAAGTTTTGGAAACTATTATAGCATTCCTTGTAAATTTTCCTTGTTATTGCATGTTATAAATCATAATATGATATTATAATAATACACTTTGTAAATACATATATAATTTTCATGTCTCCTAAGATTCAGAATGGCGACGTCCCGCACCGCATCTTTTTCTCCCACACCGCACCGCACTATCCCGTTCAAAGCTTAAATCCCACAGCCAAAATTTTAAAAGTACATTATTAACCAACTAGACTCAATATAAATGAAATAGAAAAAATAGATAGAAGCAAAGATTTTGATGATCAGAATTTTCGAACATGTAAATTATTAAAACGATTAGTGTAGAGAATTCAATATAATTTTGGATATAATGAATGTTTTTATGCAAATGACTTATTCTTGTGATTGTATTATAAACCGAAAGTAAACTTGAAACTCAATTGTTGTATCAAATCCAATACATGCGTTTTATTTTTATCAAGATTTTGTTTAAACGAATTTGCCCACGATTTCTAGGAAATGGTCACAGAGCTGTTGAGGTTTGCAGAACATTGGCATATGATCCGTCTCTTCCATTTCCATCACTAAATTCATCGGAAAATTATCAATCATCCATTGTTGGTATTCTACCGGAATGGCTTTGTCGTCTTTGCACACTATGTAAACTCTAGGAACAGATCAATATCCTTCATCTGAGAAGTTCTTCGTCTTGGATAAATCGCTCACAAACAATGATCCAGGCCTCTGTAAAAGCAATCCAAGTTCAAGATCCTATATCAAGATTACAACACCAACAAAACCAAACAAAAAACAAGTTTCAAAAAAATAAATAAAAAAGAATCCATATATTCAGATCCGTTAAATATATGTTTGGCCGTAATGTTGAAACTAAGAACCTGTTTTATAAATGTTTTCCCATTGATCCACTATTCCGTATATAAAATAACATTTTTATTTTAGTTGATGTAAGTCGTTCAAAATTTCAAATATTTCTGAAAGAATAGTTTTTACCTCAGTCTAAGATGTTAAAAGAAAAATATGTACATCAATAACCTTAATTTAAAAATGGAAAAATCTTATGTTAATCATGTTGAATTGGCCGACAAAAAAAAAATCATGTTGAATTGAAGACAATGAAAACTTTTGGTGCAATAGTTACAAGACAATGAAAACTTGAAAATGATATATTAATTTTTGTTCTTGCTTTCGGTGCTATATGCATATTTTTTTCTTGCTTCTATTTAAAATAATAATAAAAATCTAGCAAATATTGATCCATTGACCAGTTCAATCCAGTAAGTCAATGATCTCAAAAGAATTCCGGTTTGATTTTCATTTTTGGTTTAGAGACAAATGTAAACATTGAAAACGTATAGAAAAGAATTTATAATGTTTTTTATTTCAAAAGAAAAACTAAAAGAATTTATAATGTATGATGATAGATTAAATTATCTCAATTGGAGAAAGTTGATAGAGACCGAACTTCATGAACTGATGGCTGAAGAACATGCTCAGTCCGGAATTGTCTGAGCCATATGGTTCGAATTCGGTGCCCATCCATGCTTCTTGTGGCATGTTGCTTCCAAACTTTTACATACATAAAAAAATTAAACTCAAAAATAATTTTTCGAGTTTAATACAATTAGAAATATACAAGAAAATATCAAATTCTAATATCGATGAACATCATGAACTCATAATAATATATGAGAGATATATGAGAATTTAGCTATATATTAATCATCAGTAAGTTTTAAATTGAGTTCATACAACCTAACATTGTATTAAACTCCAATTTTGAATGTATGTTGGATGATGGTTCATATCAGGATAGTGCTATTAGTCTTATAATAAAATTCGGTTTGAAAAAAAAAAAACATTATTTTGGTGGAAGCGTATTACGCGCATCTTTCAAAATAATATACAAGAGATACCTATTAATCTATTTTGGCTAAGTTGTATTGAAAATGACGACCATGAAAATGAAAATTCAACTAACATTTGATTTGGCTATATATAAAAGTACTTTTGTTTTGATGGTCTAGTCCATTGGACTTGTCTTTTGAGACTTAAAAGAGAAGAAAGCAAACTCATTGGACCTCACGGACGTCGACGTCAAGATTGTCAATACATGATCTATGGTTATCCAATACAGACCACAAATTTTCAAATAGTAGATTCCAAAATAAGAAAACGATGCTAAAAAAGAAAAGAAAGGGATGTTAAAACGAAAAATCTCCGAAAAGGAAATCTTTGAGGGAAAAGAAAACAAAAGAAAAGGTTCATTTGAATAATATTTCTTTGTAATGTGAGCCATAAATAGCAGTAACAAAAATATTGATCGGCAAGTTGTTCTACAGTTTAAACTTTGATTGATCACGATAGACATAAACCTTTTCTTGGTATTTGATCATTATTGTATGTATCATTAAGAGTAATACATACCAGAGGAAAAAAAGGGATACCTTTTCCAAGACGAAGGATGGTGAGTTTTTGGTATCAGGCTTGAAAGCAGTCAAGAAGACAGACCAGAGATCTTATTGGAAAACTTATCCATGGTCATGGCTAAGGTCAAAGCTCAAAAAAAAAAAAAATGTAAATTAATTCTTTAAATAGGTTGACTAATAAAAGAGTTAGAATAATTAGAAAGTTAAAAGTGTGGTTAAAAAAATGAAATTTGATTGAATATAAATTTTGTTTTTATTAAGGTACAAACTTTTTAGGGTAATTACAAAAATGCCACTTTTTGTGTGCACATTTACAAGAATGCCACTTAGAGGGTGTCTATTTAGAAAAATGTTACTAATTATAGATTTATAAAGCCTATATCTTAAAATTCTAAATCTTAAAAAATGTTTTGACACCTAAAACCCCCTAAACACTCAAAACTAAACCCTAATAGAACATAATTAACCCAAACATAAATAATATAAAAAAAAGATAATTTTGAAAAAGTGGCATTTTTATAAAGATTTCAAAAGTGTGGCATTTTTGTAAAATGGCACTTGAAAAGTGGCATTTTTGAAAATTTTCAACTTTTTTTAATAAAAAAGAAACTTTTCATATTTTATGAAATTTATAACTCTTAAAAGTAATATTGATTTTTTTCTATTAACATTTTAGAAATATGGTTACATAATTGATTTATACTAACTCTTTGAACTATAAAATTCATAAATACTTTTTATTTTTTAATTTTGTTTACATATATTTTGGTTAAAAAATAAATTTATATTATAATTACTAATAAAATCTTGTATAGATTTGTATTCGTTAATTTTTATTTTGATTCATATTACGTTTTTCGTCTAATTTAATATTTCATTAGTTATAAAAAACACTAAAGATGATGTAAATTTTTTTTTACCTATATGGATACTGTAGATGGAGAAAGAAATCTCTAATTATATAATAGATTTTTTCTGTACTTTATCTGAAATAACATAAACTTATTTACCTTAAGTGTCTACGAATACACGTATATACTCAATCAATATATGCGTCTTCTATACAGCTGTAATACGTCTTATTTACCTTAGTTATAAAATACATAACAACAATTTGCTAAAGCTTTTGTTATATGATAGATCGTCTATTAGAGCGAGTTATTTGATTAACTTTAACAAATGGTTTTCTCCAAAAAGATATAAAATATTGGGATTTCTTCCACTATCGAAGAAACTCATCCAAAAAATTCTACATGAAAAAACTTTTAATTGTGTTTCTCCAATAGGGGAAAAAAAACCAC